ACCCTGCGGCAGCTCCTGCAGCCCCCCATCACCCACGCTGGTTCCCATCTTCCCTCCATCCCCACAGCTGGTCCCTGCATCCCTTCCCGTCTCCGTCTCTGGTCCCTGCATCCCCTCCCATCTCCGTCTCTGGTCCCTGCATCCCTCTGTCTCTCTGTCCCCGGTGCCATCACTTCTCCAACCCCAGCAAACCCCATCCGACCCTGACCCCTCGGTGTAGCTGGGCTTGCACTCGACCTTCTCCCAACCTTCTCCCATCAAGGAAGGGACACTCACGTCTCGATGGCTGTGCAGATGTCCTGGACGCTGCGGCCGCCCTTGCGGAGGGTGATGGCCAGGTTCTTGGCTCGGTTGGACTCCATGAGTGTGACCTTGCTGGGAGTCTTCTGCGTGGCCTTCACCTTGAGGGCGCTGATGTCCAAGCCGGGGCCCTGCGCCTTGGTCTTGAACTGCTCCTCAAAGTCACTCATGTCCAGCTCCTGCGGGGAGACAGGGCTGAGGGCACAGCGGGGAGGTGACGCAGGACATCTGGGACGAGGATGGGGCCGGAGGACTGGGACAAGGGGGAGAGGAGTGAGAGGATGAGGATGGAGCAAGGGGACGAGGTCAAATGGGAGGCATGAGTGAGCGGACAAGGACAGGGACAGGGCAAGGGGACAGGGAAGGGGTAAGGAGGGAATGAGGGGACCAGAGGATGGGGATGAGGAAGAAGACATGAACAGGACATGAGGATGAGGACGGAGCAAGGGGACAAGGACAGGGTGACAGGAGATGGATGGCCGATCTCATGTTGTCCCTCTCCATGACGCCAAGGAGCTGCTCCGACCTCCAGCTCCCACGTGACACCATGGACGGGGGCAAGGTGGGCACGGGGACAACCTCAGCGCGGGCACGGCGTGGACTGGGGCACCGGCCCAGCCAAGCACCCTGCGCCCAGCCCCCCCGGGTCCTCACCTGCAGCACCTTCTCGTCGTTGAGCTCGTTGAAGACGGTGCCATCGATCTGGCTCGGCTTCAGTGCCACCCAGTTGAAGACGGGCATGCGAAACTTGGTCTGGATCGGCTTCTTCACCTTCA